TGGCCCTCACTCCCTGGCCAAACAAAAGCAGCAGCCAGGTGACCACGAAGCTGATCCCCTGCAGGATAATGACTGGCTTGTAGCGGACGTAGTCGGTGGCGATGAACACTGGGAACAGCAGTGCCAGGTAAGAGTATGTCCAGATGGGAAGGATCTCATTTGTGATCTGTGAGGTTGAAAGATGGATCACGTGACCACGAAGTGCCAGGAGGTGAAAGAGATAGAAACCTTTTTAGGTAGTACATTGCCATAGTATAGGTGGCTCGCCCACTATCAAATTCTGCGTCCAGTTGGATAGCATAGTGTTCGTATTAGCGAAGAGCACGACAGAAAACTGATTTTCAAGGAAAAGACAGCTCCTCCCCCTTCTCTAAAACCAAACCAGTTTATCAGTTTATGCGAATCCCAACAGAATATATTTGCTTCATGCGGAATCCGAACTCTTTTAAAATTTAAATAGTATGCACATTTGAGTTAAATTAGTTAACAATCGTTCAACAGACACTTCTGGGGTTTTCAGGCTCTTAAAATATACCGTCCCCTTCCTGTTCAAAGGTTTTAATGTTAGACAAAGCAGCCCCAATGTTAGAAGAATCGGACAACCTTTATGTTTATTTGATCCATCACCACGTCATAAAAATCCACAGTCTGATGAGCTCACGCGAAGACAGCAAAGACTCAATAACCTTGCAGAATTACAAAGTGCGAACAAGTAATGCACAGAAAGTTCGGTGCCAAATTTGCTGGGCTCCTTAACCCTCTTGTCTCCCAATTCTATTGGTTGATCTCTGCTTGCTCAATTCTGGCCTCAATTTGATGTGGGCATCACACGGCTATCGTCCGAAATGCAGGGGACCTCAGAGATCATTCAAAGAAAGGAAAGACCGACCAAAGGAGTTGATCTTTGGGGCAGGATGGGTGTGGCAGAGACTCATTCACACCAGCCTTTGTCCTGTGCCTCTCTGCTGTCTACAGCAACCTCCATGGGTCCCAAGGTCAATGATGAGGAACAGTTCAGTGATTTGAAAGGCTAGTGGGACTGAGCGGCACCTCTCAGCATAGGTGCATTAACTGGTCTGTAGTGGTCACAGAAGCAGCCCCCAACGAGTTCATTGGCTGGTTTTGGACCTGTCTTTGTCCTTTGTTTTGTCTTAGTCCTGACAGGCTCCCATCTGGACAAAACTGGAAACAGAGTCGCCCCTAACTGATATTACATCACCCCACAACAAGTTTGCTTTCCTGTCCTTCGCACCTCACCACCAAATAACTAGCATCAATTAGCCTTCTGGGCAGAGTTGCCCACCCTGCAGTGTTTCTCATGGCTATGGCTGGAGCTTACAAAACCAGCCCACAGTAGCGCTCCCATTGGGTGAGTGCATTTTCTTGTTGCACTTGTTATAAAAAGGGAGGTGAACCTTTTACGTAAGAGAATTCCGTCTTCAGGGGAAGCTAAAACTGGGAGATAAAGCTGTTAATGTCTCACCTGCTGGTTAATGGTTTTTCAAGACTGAGTAAGTGTCCTACAGAAACGATGCAGTTCTTTACCAGATCCTGCTCCTACCTTGGCAGCCTGAAAGTTTCTTAGGACTGGATCCTGTGCCTGGCAGAGACTTTGCTTTAGGATTTGTTTAACAGATTCCATTGAGACCTGAAAGTCACCATGCGTTGAGACTAATGGTAGGACTCCACAAGAGTTAAGATAGTTATTACACATATAGCTATTACACATATTACACACATTGCAAGTGTGAGGAGAGAAGAGTAGTTTGAATAGTTGTATTAAATGACAAATACCATGAAAATAGGATCAACTGAGGTCAGTGTGTTAATGTCTCAAGTTGAAAGAAACCCTAACCCAAAGTCCGTCCGAATGCTGTAAAATTAAACCACGTTAAGATATGTATATGTATCAATTTACCTCTGAGCTGGTCAGGTTTTTATCTGGTCCAGATAAATATGGGACTAAGAAGGGTTCTGAGGGTCTCATCATGGAGAAAAATCCAAATAAACACAGGATCACGGTGGGATAAATCCAGGAATGGCTCGGTGAAGCTTTGAAACAACCCATTGCTGATCAAATGGAAACAAAGCCAAAATTAGCTGATGTTTAATTATTTTTGGTATCTTGGATATAAAGAAAACCCGACTGCTAAACATTTTGTGAAAGGATAAAATTTCACCTGTCTGCAGTTGAAATGGAAAGGTGAGTGATGAGTAAGTGTTCTCAGATATTCCTTAGGTGCACCAGTCAAACCCTTCTTTGTCAACGGGCTTGGTCCTCACTATTGCTGGGACAGGATCACACTTCCCTAGTGTTCTCCATCACAAACATGATAACGAGTAGTTACTAATAAATGGTAAACAATGGGTTAATCAATGTTCGAGAGTAAGTAAAACATTGGTTGGTGAATTACTGGTGTACATGTGGTAGGTGAAGTACCTTTCGGAGGTCAAATGTAACTAAATACCCATTTAGTCGATCAAGTTGCTACGAATCTGCCCACTATATTTTGCACCGTGACCATGAAATCTTGAACACGTCGAATGGCACGTCTTTATTCACACATTTATCTCTCTATTACACTATCCCTTGATTAGTATTGTGCTTGACACATAACGGACACCCAAGATACTTTTGTTAGGTGTCTCCAAGAATTTATAATTCTTCAGTTAAAAAAAAATTAAACCAGGTACAGATCCAACTGGCCATTTTTTCCATGTTTCCCCCCTTTTCCAGGTTGATGCTAATTCTATGTTGGGAATGAAAGGCATCGCTTTGTAGACTGTTATTCTGCTTTTCATTACGACTGGGTCCATTTCTTGTCTCAGTCTGCAGCTTTACACCCCTCAGTGGGGCAGGCAGCTCATTAATGGTTTATACTTTGTTCCTAACCCACAAATGAGATTGCTTGAAGTTCAAATTTCAGACAAAAAGTCCAATGGATTATCTGCAATAGGAAAATTCCTTCTTATTCCTTCCTATTTTGGATCAAGCTTTACTTACAAAATATATACATTTTTGGTGGCCTTGGATGAGGTTAAGTTCTCTGAGATAATTTATAGGGAGGAAACTAACTTGTGAGTATGAGGCTTTTCTGCACGTTATCTAATTAAGTCCTAATAATAGCTGTAAAATATACACTATTTCCCCAAATTCCCAGGTGAGCCTATGGGAGATCCAAGGTGTCCTACAACTGGCTTCAAGCCACACGGTCAAGATTTGAATACAGATCTCCCGGACTTCTCTCTGGATCCCTTCCCCTGCTCCACTCTGTCTCATTTTGGTGGCCCTATTTCACTGGGCTGCTGGTAGTAAGCCTACTGACAACCTCCCCTTGCAGTGAGGGGAGAAAGTGTTTTCACGAACACATTTGTCTTAAAGATTATGACTTACTACATAGAGCTTCCCAGGTCAATTGTAGTTTGAAAGTGGACCCAAGAGAGGGAAAGTAATCCTCACTCCAGAGGAGCAAGTCATTGAGTGAAATTCCAGGGATCCAGGAAGAGGAAGAGGGATGTGGGGAGGGCCTACTGGGTCACACCATGGGTCTGCCACCCACCCCATCTTTTCATAAGGTGACCTCAGACCACTGCATGGTTCCTATCTGGAGTTAAATGAGGGGAACACTGTGTGTTTATGTCAACAAAACCCTCAATGAAGCAGCGCAGAGACAATGGAAATCAGAATTTGGATGGGATCATAATTGCAAGCAAGGCTGACAACACGAAAATTTTGCCAAGAGCATACTGGGTTTGACTGCCCTTGGCCCTCAATGCTTGGGATTTATCTCTTCCTGAGTGGTTGCTAGAAGCTCCAGAGACCTGCTGGGGCCTTCTTTTTTTGTAAGTAATGTTCTCATGGAAAAGTCTAAAAGTCTATCAGAGGTCGGCAATTCTTGAGGCTTGCCCGTCTTTCAAAGGGTGGTCTTAATGGGGTGATATCTGTGGACTCCACGACTAGAATATTCTCTCCATCTATGTTGACCATGGATTGTCCACTGACTTCAAGTCGTCACCTTCATCTTCTCCATGCATCTCAGAGAACTAGCAGTGCTCTCAGGGCTCCCTGGGCTGTTAAGAGCCCTCTGGATTACCTGCCCCTTCATCTCTTAACTGTTCTCTTATGCTACCCAGCTGGACTTGGTGAGGAAGGTCACACAGAAAAAGACACTGTATGTCCCACTAGAGTGTAAGCAGGAGGGCGGGGTGTTTTGTTTGGTTGGTTCAGTGCTCTAAGCCTAGTGCCTAGAAGAGTGTCCAACACATGGTATGACTTGCAGAAGGAAGGGGATGAAGGTCAAACCTCGCCACTGAGATCTAGTAAAGATTTGTCCACATTCCCAGAATGTACTGCTAGCTGCATCAGGTAAAGGTGAGGGAGGTCCTTAATTCTACAAGCACCTTGCAGTTTAGTTGTGCATCTGTAAAATGGGGTCATGATGCTAACTACGTGTGTGGGCTTTCCATGAGCATCAGGTGCCTTGGTATCTGCAAGGGATTTGGTGCCATGTTAGGCATAGGGTTGCTGCTCAAACACAAGGCATTTCTCTTCCCTTCGCTCTTTTTCAGCTTCGATGATCCACAGTGATTCTGGCTTAATGAGGAGAAAAGGAGGGAAGGTGTCTGACCTTAGCTGAAGATAATGGGAAATATCTGGGGAGCTCATCCCTGAATCCTAGGAAGCTGGGCTTCCTTTCCTCACTCCTTTTCAAGCCTCTGCCCCACAGAACAGCAAACACATGCTCCAAAGCTAGGTTTCTGGCCAGAGGAAATAGAAGGCATCTAACCAAACAATAGCAGGTATCCATTAACCAAGAAGGACTGGGCAGAGGAGTTCAAGTTTCCTGGTTTAATGGCAACAGGAACTCCCAGACCCTTACCAAGGCCATGTCTTGCCTAGTGTCTATTCTTCAGGGCCACAGCCATCGTGACTGCCCGCTGGGAGACTTCTCAGAGGCGAATGGCTGTTCTTTCACCTTCCCCTACCCCAAGTTCTCTTTGTCTAGCACTAGCTTCTTTCCATAATCCTTTCCTACGCTGGTCTGTTAACAAGGACTGTGTGAACTTGACTGGCATATCAGATGGCCTGGGAGCTTCGTGGGTCAGTAGGTATGGAGGCCCAGGAATCTGTGTTTATACACACAGCGATTCTGACACAGGAGGCCCAAGGACCACTCGCCCGTTACTCAACCCCCCAGGGACACTGGCTCCACGCCACAGCCTTGGATCTTAACAGGGTGGAGGGCGAAGTGGATGGAAACCGTCCAGGGAGCTTTTGCAAAACTACATGTAGACACATAAGACCCTGAAATTCTTTTCTGGCTCTCTAGGGCCTGAAGAGTCCAGGACAGGTGGAAAAATCCTGAGGCGACCGTGGTGTTTTGAATATGCCTCTCACGCTCTGTCTGCCTTGACCCACCAACCCTTTCATGTGCACACATCACTCCCTGTTTGTGATCCATTCTGTCGCATTCAGCCCAAATCTGTTTCTAGTAGGGACCCTGGAGTGCCTGTATCTAGCACTGAATCAACAGCAAGGTTCTGGCTCCTTCAGTTATCACAGCACACAGATGGGTATCTGAAATTCTCCAGCCCAGCATGACCTTTCACCCACCTTCTGAAGGCACTGATTTATTTTTTCTTCCTTATGTAAAAGCCCGCAACTCACACGGGTAAGATCTATCAGCTATTGTTCGCTGGCCTCCTGCTTCACACCAAGCATCGTATCCGTTATTGTATGAGACACAAGCATTGTATTAGACATTTAATGATTGTCTGTAATCCTTAGAACGATCCTAATTATATACATTATATGTATTTATCTATAGTTATTAGATTTTCATATAACACAATAATCATATGCAGATATTTATTATATAAATAATCATAATTATTAGCTATGATTATGTGAAATAAATATACATATAATTATATAATATGTAATACAGATTTATTATATTTTATATTTTTTTAACTTTTTAAAAGTGTTTATTTTTTGAGAGAGAGAGAGAGTGCAAGCAAGGAGGAGCAGAGAGAGAGGGAGACACAGAATCGGGAACAGGCTCCAGGCTCCGAGCTGTCAGTACAGAGCCTGATGCGGGGCTGGAACCCATGAACTGCGAGATCCTGAAGCTGAGTCAAAGTTGGACACTTAACCGACTGAACCCCCCCCAGATGCCCCTAATTTATTATATTTCATATTATGTGTTATACAGTTGACCCTTGAACAACACGTTTGAACTGCATGGGTCCACTTACAGGTGGATTTTTTTTTTTTTTGATAAGTAGAGTACAGTACTGTAAATCTATTTTCTCTTATGATTTTGTTCTCTAGCTTACTTGATTGTAAGAATAGAGTATATAATACATATAACATACAAAATAGGTGTTAACCGACCATTTTGTTATCAGTGAGGCTTCCAGTCAACAGTAGGCTAGTAGTAGTTAAGTTTAGGACGTTTATTACGTCAAAAGCTTACTACGTGCATTTTCAACCGCACAGGGCATTGGCATCCCTCATCCCGATGTTGTCTGAGGATCAATTGTAATTCCATATTTTTTATATGTCTCTAAAATGTTGCCAATTTCTCAGACATGGGAATGGAGCCTCCTCATGGCTCATGGCCACTCCACTAAGAAAGGTTAAGATTGAGTTCAGGATCGGGTCTGTTGGTGTCACGTTTGCATCTTCCCTCTACTCGGAGGGGTAGGCATCTCCTACTTCTGCGGCACCATTTTCACCTCCTGGACGTTTTCCTCTCACTTCCTCGCCAGGTGTCCCCAGAGTCACTGTCAATGTGGCCCCTGGGTTTCCAACCCAACAATCCAGGTGCTGCCCAAATCATTCTCTCCTCCTGGAGAAACCTCTGGCTAATGGTCTCATAAAGTCTGGTGGTATTGATCACTACCTTTTATTTTTATCTTATTGAAGAGATGCTACTCTTTTCTGTCACCAAGACGATGACAGTGACAATCAGATTACACAGTCTATACTTTTTTATATTTGGAAAATTGTCTGATTTTTTCCTTGAAGACTCTGTGAGGTAGATAGAGGAGACGGTATTGTCCTC